AATTATCTCTTTCTATTAAATATTGAAATGAGCCTTACTTACAAACGTAATGCTTTTAAAATTAATTGGTATAATTATTATTTTAACGAACACTATCGTAATTGAAACTTAAGTAGAATTCAATGTAACATACTGTTATACTAATTATTTACATTTGTATCTATATTATTTTTTGCTAAGTATTTCTATAATTTCTATAACTATTATATAATACCTATTTGTTTAATGAACATAAAATAAAAACATTTTAAAATAATAAAATCATTTTAAAATTGATTAATTAAACAAAAAATTATGCTTCCAAAACTCATAGACCAAAATATAAATTAATATTCTATATAAAAATATATATATATATATATATATTTAACTACAAATAATATTAATTTATAGGTTTTTTAGAAAAAGTGTAACAAATTTCGAATAATTTAATGAGTAAAACAATAAAACCTATTTTGCTAAAATATTCGTCCGTTTAGTTATTTATGAAATTAATTGTATCGGCGACGATTTGTTGTACAATGATTTTAATATTACATGTTACAAATTAAAAGTATCTATAATTTACATTGGGTACAACAGACCAAATAGAGATCAAAAAGGAAGGTAAAATACATAAAATAATGAACGAGTGGCTGAACAAACACTAGGACTCAAATGATGATGATTAAAGGTCGGATTTTTATGCAAATAATATTTTTTAATATGCACTAAATGAAAATTTAAAAATATGCAAAAATAATTCTTTATTGATTTTTTAGTACATAATAAATAATTTTTTCGCATATTTTTTGCATACTTTTGAATTTTGATGTGCATATATATTTACATATTAAACAATAAAAAAAAATAAAATGACAATTTATTAATAATTACAAATTACAGAATAAGTAATTGTTAATCAATTATATAAATTCAGAATTCCCAACAAAAAATAATTAAATATTTAGAACAAATATCAACACGAGGTTACAAAAAATATCTAGAATCAGATTTTTAAAATGGAAACTTTTACAGTTGTCATGTATCATGTATTTATACTTAAAAAAATTTCTTTCTTCGTTACATGACACTATTAATGCATAATTAAAACAAAATACGTCTTCAGATAAAAATTCTACAATGCCTTCATTTTGGTCACTTATTTCTCCATTCAATATTTCACGAATTGTTTTAAATTGAAAAAATTGGGAATTTTGGGACAATATTTGAGATAGTTTACATTTAGCAAATTTTATACATATTTCTCCTTTTTTTAAATAGACACAATTTGTTTATTTATTATTTATAAAATTTGCATTTTTTATGCAATTATATAGAAATATACAATTCAATGTAATTTTTTCTCAAATATGCAAAAACAAAAATCATTTATAGGAATCTATACAGTGCAAGACATTGATATTTGCAATTAAAATTATTCTAAGTGAATTGTAGAAAAATATGTATTTAAATAAAAATCCGCACCCTAATGATGTTAATAACAACTTTAATGATAAATAATTATAAAAATAAATATTAGGTGAAAGTAAATATAAAAAAATATTTTTACCTGCATCAGTTTTAGTAACATTATGTGTACTGTGTATTTCAGGGAAAATTGTTAGAAGATAATGTAGGCGTTTACTATTTTGCGATAAAAATGGTAAAATAGAAACAGCAGTGTGTTTGATATTTCTAAAACAAAAAAAAAAAAAAAAATAAAATATATCATACAAATTAAGTTTTTTATTAATTTTAAAAAAAAATTATTTTACATAAGAAGTGTGATATGAAATAATATGGTTTTCAAAGTTGTACATTCTCTAAAATTCGTCGTATATCACTAAAATTTAGAAATTACGAAATTATTTATTTATTGATTTCCAAAAAAAATTCAATAAGAAATCATTATGGTTTTTATACCATTTATGTTTTTTCTTGATTTAAATTGAATATTTACCAATTAGATTTGGTTTAATATTCAATAAATAAATCGGAGTAAGTATCTGGGTGAATTAATGAAAATTTGTTGTCACCCACTTACTACCAAGGAAAACAAGCATAAGTTCCGAGACACAAAAAGTATAAAAAAGAAATATTATATTTGGCCAACAAGAATTTAATGGAAAATATCTATTTGTTAAATATTTCATGGTATTATTTCAGATTTATAGCGTTACCTAAGCGATAACTATAAAGTAACATGTTGTAACGTAACATGACATTGCTTTCATTAGTATGTTTTTACGTTCTGAATTGATTGTAATAATTGTGTACAGGAATAAATGATTCAAGGAACATGAAGACGTTTGCAGTGCGTTTGAATCTATTGTTATTAAAGACAACTCAAAAGTAAAAGACGTATAGTTTTTTTAGATTTTGCCGCTGTAAAGTAAGTTAAAAAAAAATAACGTAAATTTTAAACATAATTTCAATTAATTTAATCGGTTTAAGAAATATTTATCAATCAATATTTTTTAATATAGATATATTAGATTATCACACTTTAAATACAACAATTCAACACGTAAAAATAGATTCGTAGTACAACCAAATATTTAAAGTCATCAAACGTATTTCATATAAATTACTAATTTACTAAATGTATAATACTTCTAATTTGTAATTTTTAAATTCAGTTGTATGATATATGCAATCAGTGTTCACTAAAAAATTGAACTCTTGCATTCATTACATAAAAAATGAATGCGTTCATTTATATTTTTTTAATTTTATATCTAAGAATCACCTACCTTTACAAAATGTATTAGGTATATTTTACTTTATGTTAAAAGTCTCTGCTTAAACATATTACATGACTTGACAAATAAAAATAAATAAATATTAAACTTTTAAAACATTTACTCGTAAAAGATATGAAGTATCAAAATTATATTTCTAATATCTGACATGTTTATAGTTTGAAAAATTAAAATTTTTTAATAAAAATAAGTAAAAAAATAAGTAATATAAATAAGTAAAATAATAATATAAATATATTGATATGTTATATTTTAGTGATAAGTTTAAGCACATACTATATACACAACTGAAGGAGGGGACCTAGTTTTATCCTAAGTTCTGTTAAATGAGATATGAGAGTAAAATATAGACTGAATTCATAATTAAATTACCTACTTCAATGCCAAATTATAAATTAATTACATAAATTCATACACTAAATCAAATACAATAATTTACACATCAAATACATTAACTAATAATTAATGGCTATGTGAAATACCATAGAACGAAATATTTTGAATACAGATAGGTACTTGAAACACCAACATAAGTAATTCTAACAATCTATTTAATATATTCATTAGTATTTTGTTATTATTATATCAGTATTAACCTCTAAAAATTATTTATTTGTACTTGTTTTATTTTATAATTTTAATATACATTATCATATAATAAATTATATAGTTTAAAATTAAATTTAAAAAAATATAAATGGATTTCTCAATAAATCCAATTCAGAGGATAGAAACAAAATTAATTAAATACTTAGAAGTAAACAGCAAATAGCCAAATAAGTAATTAGACGATAAATAAAATAAAAACAACTTACATACCTACATCTTTATGTTTTAATATAATATAATGTTTGAATATAATATGTTAATATTATATTAAAACATAGAATTAAATAAAACTATAGACTTATTTATTATAAACAGCTAATTAAATTTAAAATAACAATTAAACTAAACTCAGAACTTCTTATTTTGTTTTAATGCCATTTTGCCACTATAATTTGTTACGAGTGTATTTTTATTATCAGCACTGACGTAGGAAAACTCGCTAGCGACATTGGCAAATTGAGAAGAAAACGACTTTTAACCAACTAAACATTTGATTTGATATTTTTTTTAACCTTTAAGTTTATTATTCAGCTATTATTACAGTGTACATTTAAAACTTTGAAAATTCGGTATTATCACTTTAAGACTGACGAATTCATAGATAATTTCTTCATATGAAATTTCTTATAAAAATTCCTTTGCGCTATTTTCATAATTTCATTATTAAATTCATATGTAGTATTTACAATTAGATAAAATCTATATATTTCAAAAAGCACAATGAAAAAAATTAATATAAGTATTTAGGTAGAACAAAAATAAGACTTTTGCAATTCGTGCCCCTGATGTAGACACAGTTCTTCATATCTTTGCTACGCCACTGATCACAAACAATATATTTTTCTGATATTTGTGATTCATATCAATTTTTTACAAGTTCATAAAAATCATAATTTTTATTATTTTTAGATATAATGGGCCCGACTCTGGGAGTTCAATAGAAAATGTTACATATAGTGAAGTATAAATATTATTAATTAACATTTATTATTTATATATATGTTTTAAAAACGGTAAATAAATTTGAACGCCCCAAAAATAGTTAAAATTCATTAAAAATACAAAAGTCGTTCACGTTCAATTTAAAAAAAAGCGAGTGTCGTTCATAAAATATGAACGCAAACGCCTGTTCTATCCTACCTACATCTATAACCTGTATCTAACCTACAAATATTGGACGTGTACCTTTTTCTTGTCTCCGACAATTCTTTACCGATGATTTTCGGCGCAAATACGTCCAATGTTGTCGGGTGTCGTGAAAAACATTTGATTTCATATAGCGTTAGAGCTATCGGTCCGGTCCATCCGATCGGCGGTACAATACCACGATTCGAAAATCGAAGTGTAACAATCAGCGCTCGACTTGGCAAAATTAAAGAAGGGGGACTCTATTTACGAAAGAACGTCCCCAAAACTGGTTGAGCGTTATGATCATAGCGTAATAATAGTAGGGGGACGCTAAAATTTCTGAAAATTAGTTGGGGTACTCCGTCCCCCTGCGTCCCCCCTCAAGTCGAGCACTTAGATTTTCGAAACGCGTCTTCCACCAGTCGCGTAAAACACCTCAACAGCCGTTTTGACGGACGTCTTCGTAGACCGCTAGCGCGCGCGCTCGTCTTCGTTTATCATTCCGTTTGCGGCGGACAGACGGTCGCGTGATACCGAGATAACAAACGTCGCCGCACCGACAACAATGACCAACGGCGACTTTGCTGACAGGTTTTAGTGAGACGACGGGATCAGCAACAGTATTGAGAATAACCGGAGCCGTGTGCCAATCGTCAACGGTCGTTACACCGGTTCCGCGCGGTCACGGAAATCGCTAACCGCCAGCCGCGCCGTACTTCTCCCGCGAGCACACGGCGTCGGTGACCGGTGTGAACGCAGCTGAAAAGCGCACGGCGTGTCGTCAATCAACTGCGCGCGTTCGCACCAGCCCAATAGTCGCCCGGTCCGCGTCCGCTGTGCACCATGAAGTTCGTCCACGAGGTAAGTGCCGTTCGTCCGTGTTCTCGCTCTGCCCCAGTGGGAAATAAAAATTCCTCCCGGCGGTCGGCCATCCGTGGTCGTTGTTCGGAGGTTTTTTTTCCATGTTTTTTTAAATGTTTTGCCCTCCTCGCGCACGCCAGTGGTCGTTGCTTCGCCGCACGTGAAACCCAATCTTCGGCGTACATCATCGTTACACCCGACAGGGAACTGCAAATTTTCACTCACGTTCTGCATGAAGACGAATAAAATCGAATGGTTTATTTCCATTGTACCACTGCAATACGGTGTTTTTCTCCATTAACCGTAGTCCTCTCGGTTCATATAATATGTTTTTCACCAAATAGTCAATGTTCTTGCCCATCACTTGATTTGTTCTACTAGATCTTCACCATTTTCATAATGAACGCAATAATTATTGTTACAATTATTCATAAAAAGACTATTATTTAAAAGTCTGTCTGTTGTATACATTTTTTTTAGATCAAGCAACGGTACGCAGCCACGATTCATATTAGATGTGAAGCAGAGGTCAATGATAAAATTGAACAACTTGTATTAGGAGGTTCAGATAAATTACAAGTAAAATACATCTTTATTAAATCTATTACACAAAAATATCAAACTTATCGTGCGTATTTTATTTAAAGATAATATCAGATTTTGATCGAACCATATCATGTTCAGAATACAATAATAAACCAACCATGAGCAGTTTTAGTAAGTTTGATAGACTAATATTTTATATACAACTGTTAATCATTTTACTTATTTTTTATTTATAATTTATATGTTAAATATTTTTACATGTTTTAGTAATTTATTGTATTGATTAGAATGACAAATGAGCTAATTACTGATGTTGAAATGTTCAAATGGAAGTATAAATAGTTGATAATAATGAGATCCTATCTCATAGAAATATGTTGGTTTAAAAAATTGTTAGCTAAATTTGAAATTTTGTTTTGTAATTCTTCTTTATGTGTTCCTCTTCTTTCGAAGGTTGGATATCATCATGGCTATATGTTCTTTGTCCTTGGCTGCACTGAGTAGTTCCTCAGTATTGTATTGGAACCACTCCCTTAAATTTTGCAGCCAGCTCGTTCTAGGTCTTCCCCTGCTCCTTTTCCTGCAAATCTTTCCTTGTATTATGAGCTGCAATACCTGATATTTTTCACTTCTAAGCAAATGTCCAAAATATTGCAACTTCCTAGGTTTTATAATCTTCATCACCTCTGGTTCTTTGCCTTTTCTTAAAATTTCTTTGTTTGTAACTTTGTCGACCCAAGATATATTGAGAATCCTGCAGAAACACCACATCTCAAATGCTTGGATTTTTGAACATCCGTTTTTTTTAGGGTCCAAGCTTTCATTCCGTACAACAAGGTGGAAAACACATAGAACATCCTAGTTCTTAAATCCAATGGTAGATCTCGGTTTGAACAATTTTTCCTTAGTTTGATGAACATCAATCTAGCAATTTCAACTCAACACCAGATCTCTCTTGAGTTATTCTCGTTACTGTTAATCCATGTTCCAAGATACCTGTATGAATATACTCTTTCTATTATGGCATTGTTTAAGATTAATTTGAATTCATTATTGCGAGTGTCTATTCTGTCTTTTGTTATTAACATAAATTTAGTTTTCTTAACATTCATTTAAAGTCCATATTTGTTGCATGCAAAGTAGAGCTTGTCTATGCTTCTTTGCAGATGCGCCATGGTTCCTGTCAAAATAACGGTGTCATCGGCATATCTTAGGTTGTTAACGAATTTCCCATTTACTTTAATACCAATGTTTGTGGAGGATCGCTTCATCAAAAATTGCTTCACTGTAAATATTAAATAATAGGGGAGGCAAAACACAACCTTGTCTAACTTCATTATTTATTTTTGTTTCGTTTGAGAACTCATCATCCATTTTAATTTTGGCGGTTTGATTCCAATAGAGATTGGAAATTATTCTTATATCACGGCTGTCAATATTTTTATCCTTTAATATTTATTTTTATTAGTTTGTCATGCTGTACGTTATGGAATGCTTTAGTAAAGTCTATAAAACAAGCAAAAATATTTCTATTGACATCTAAGCACCTTTGTATAAGGGTATTTTTACTGAATAATGCCTCTCTGGTCCCCATTCCTTGTTTAAATCCAAATTGCGTCGTACTTATGTTATTCTCCAATTTAGCATATAATCTTCGATGTATGATCTTTAAAAATAATTTCAAGGTATGGCTCATTAAAGCTATTGTTCGATAATCTTAATATTCTTTAGGGTTATTTTTCTTGAATAATGTAATAAAAGTTGATATCAACCATTCTTCCGGAATATTTCCTGATGCATAAATTGTATTGAATAAATCAACTGACATATCTATGCCATCATCATCAAGCAATTTTAACAATTCAGAAGGTACTTCATCGGGGCCTGCTGCTTTCCTTGGTTTGGCACTCTTTAATATATTTGTTACTTCTTTTTCCATTATATAAAATCCTTCATCCATTTTGATGCTACTTTGTTCTAGCCTATTTTGAGAGAATAGTTCTTGTACATATTCCATCCATCTTCTAATCTTTCTTTTTGTATCTGTTATTATACTACTGTTTTGTAATATTAGACTTTTTAAAAATTATACTGAAATGATAACATTAACTTTTTATTTAAAAATTTTATTTTTCAACAACTACTCTTAATACATAAAAATGCAAGACAACACTAAGTTATTTTAGTATTTATCAGTTTATTTTTTCTTCAAATATTCAAATCATTAAATTATTATTAAATGTAAATTTTCTTATATTTTATCATATACTAATTGTTGCCTAACTGAATATGATTTTTAGTTTTTATTAGAACATAGAAATTAATATTAAGTTAATATGATATTTAATTGTTAACCAATATCTATATTCAGCTATTAATAAAATTAAATAAAGTATAATAATTTTCTTAAATTCAAGAAAAGTAACAAATTTTTATTTGATATTGTGAGCCTAATATATAAAAGACTTGTTATAAAAATATTTGCTAAGTATTAATGAAAATTGAATAAGTATTAAATACTATATTTTAATAAATTACTCATTAATATACAATTGATTTAATAGATCATAAATAAAGTAGTTCAAAGGTATAAAACTAATAAACAATTAATAATGTGATTAAATATTATATTTTGTATTCAGAAACTCTTGGTAATTTAAAATGTTTTTTCCAACTTTGACCTGTAATTTGTTATTAGCTATAACACTTACTGTTTGTTCATATATATATTTTACCAAGATAACATTCATTGGACATTTATTTACAATAATTTAACATAACATTTAATTATTATAATAATATGCCTAATATACAGCCTTTTAATATTATTAATGTTAGTCGATTTCATTTAATGTAGTTACTATAAACCTGAAACTAATTTTAGTATAAAAATTAAAGAACCTCTTTTAAGTCCTTGATAAATTTACTATACAACTGTATTATTTTTTTCTTCTTTTAACAGGTGTGTTTGAAACATGTGATAGTTTGCCTGAAGATTATAAAGAAAAAGCTTTGGCCCTTTTAAAAAAATACCGCCCAATAGAAGATGATACTCAAATGACTGTTGCTGAAAAGTTACCATTCATTGAACAATGGTGGAGTGAGAGTCAAAATCTGTTAACAGGCCTTTGTTTCCAGTATGACGATATAAAAAATTCCATCAAAAGAGCAAACGTTAAACTTAGGTATTTTTTAACTATATTTTATGTAATTTAAGTTAATTTTAAATTTTTAAAATTTATTCAAAGTTAATTTGAAAGAAAATAAAGAAAGTATAAAACATTTTAGCTGAAATTGTGAATTTAAGTTTTATATATTTTAATTGGGACTAGAAATAGTTTTTATTGTATATCAGTGAACTTTCACATGACCAATTAAACATATATTTTCTTCTTTTTAGCTTAATGACTTCAAGAGTCTTCAACACCACTGTTACAGCCTTCTGACTATTCCTATCTTGGATTGCATCTCTCCATCCTTTATATTGATTGTCTTCAAGACTTGATTTATTCCATCAATCCAATGATTCCTTGGTCTATATCTTAGTATTTTCCTGTTTGTTTAGTATTCCATAAATTGAATATCAATACAATTTTTTATTAGTGCTTATATATTGAAATACATTTTTCATATGCTTTTATCATTGAGTTATTAAAACATTTTTATAACTTATTTTAATCATTTTTAATTTATTGCCAACATTAATTTAAAAAATGTAAAAAGTTTTTAAAAGCTCGTTTAAAAATATTTTTGCTTCTGTTTATCATTAACAATATCCTGTATAATAGTAATTTTTAATTATAGTTGCAATTCTTTAACTCCGAATAAGCATTTGCATATTAACTAGAAATTCAAAGTGATAAATGTTAACTCATTTTAAAATGTACAAATTATATTTTTCTATCATTTTTATTGATGATCTTCTCTTTTCAGAAGTATAATTAAAAAAAATATTATAATAAAATAATAATAAACATAAAACATAAAAATATATTATAATGTATTCTAGATTTCTTAAAAAAGGTAAAAAGTTAAAAGATTTTTTAACTGAAAAATATACAATATTAACTCAATACTTACATATTTATACTTATAAAATATTATTGAATGCATGTTTCAACTATTATGAAATTTTCAAAATTTTTAATTATTTATGTATTTTTATTATTTTATTCATAATTTTTCAGAGATGGGTGTTCAGATGCTTTTGAGAAATTACACAATCTAAAAATCCCTGTTATTGTTCTGTCAGCTGGTATTGGTGATGTCGTTCAACTCATACTAGAGCATGAAAATTTGTTAACTGAAAATGTATCAGTCGTATCAAACTTTTTAAATATGTCCAATGACAAGAATGGCTCATCCAAAATTCTAGGATTTAAAGGAGAAAAACTAATACATGTATTTAACAAAAATGAACACGCATACATAGATACACATAAAAATGTAAGATTTACAACAATTAATAAATAACAATAACTTCTATAGTACAAAAGTTGTTTATTTATAGGATACACATTTAAGTGGAAGATTGAACGTTATCCTGTTAGGTGACTCATTAGGAGATGCAAACATGGATGGTGGTATTCCATACAATACTGTGCTACGTATTGGATTTTTAAATAGCGATTTGGTAAAGAAACATATTTTGTACACAATTTAAACATATTTATTAAACATTTTTTTTTTATTTATATTAAAAATAAAACTGATACCTTCATTGCAGACGGAACATGATAATGAATACTTGGAACAATACAAACGATCCTTTGACATTGTACTAGTGCAAGACCAAACTATGGGAGTGCTGAACTATTTGTTGGATGAAATAATTGGAAAAAAATAGCATCTTCTAACTGTACATTGAGACATAATTGGATTAAAATGGCTATTACCAATCATTGACATACATTAATTTACATTTATAAAATCTACTTTATGTTAAATCTAATATGTTATAACATTTTACTTGGTAAATAAAACACTAATTATTAAATTGATTCATTATGAAACTTATAACTTAAAAATCAATACACACAATTACAAGAAAAAAAGTCGTAGTGTTTTCTTGTTCTATGCACATTACACATTATTTAATGTTAATATAATAATTAACATGTAAGCATACATAAAAAGAGAAAACAAAAATAACTTTTATAATATAATGACTTCAACAACAACAAAAATATTAAACATAACAATAAAAAGAAAAAAATCTAATAAGCTATAGGGCACTAAAATGTGATCTACATTACACATTACTATCTTTTAGTAAATACAACAGTACAAATATTAAAAATAAATATATAAGGGTACTAAACCCTGATAGTAATACCGTTTTTTGTCATATAACTGCGAACACCTTGAAAAAAAAAAATGAGTACTCAACAGTTAAAAATCAATTATAATAACAAATAATACTCTTATAGCTGTACCTGTAGTTTCGCTTACTTCGCCTATACCTAACATTGTAACTTGATTGAGTAGAGTGGCAAGTGAACCTGGCAACGTAGTTTTAGATTTGATCATGACAACTGGCTTGGGTTTTTTTACTGTTTGAGTGTGCCAAACCAAAATCTAATTCAATGAAAATACCATAAAGAAAATTATTTTATTAAACTAAATTATTGTTGAACGTGTAAGAGAATCAATTTTAACAATTAACATTATGTATGCCAGGAAAAGTAGGGTATTAACTCTTTAACCAAATAATATTATAATAAGATATTTTTTTTTCACCGGATAATATGTATTACCATTTTATTACTGATTTTTATGATGTCATCTTACAGATATTATTGATGTGAAAATGTTAATTTAAAATTCAACTTAAATAAAAATTAGTTCATCCTATTGTGTAATCTTGATTTTGTATGGTTTTTCTTACATGGATTTTGAAATAACACATTCAAAATTATGGTGTACTTTAATAGTATGCAAATACATGTTTTAAGTTTAATAATCAATTAATTAATCAGTTCAATTTCATATTTTACATGATAAAAAGTGTGCACAAAAAGTAAAATATAATTTTCTCATTATCGTAAAAATTATCATCATAGGTATGACTCAAATAATTATTAATGAGTTACTATTGTAACCATGGTATTATCTGTGTACAGGCATATATCATTATTATATTTAATAAATTTAAAACGAATTGAACACTTTTGCCTATTATTTACTGAGCTTAGTTTTTAGTGTTTATGTAGTTAATTGACTAATGAATTATAATATATTAAACTGATTTACACATTTTACTTTTATTATTTTATACTACATTTTTCAATTTTTGGTGAAGAGTTCCACTTATGTGTTTCGTAATTTCACAGTAAATTCAATCGTAATCAATGTTTTCAATAACTACATTTAATAAAGATTTTATGTTCTACTCCAATAAATTTTTAAAAAAAAAATTACTACATATATTTTCAATTATTTTTAACTTACATGCACCATGATAGTGTTTTATTGTATTTAAAAAATATATTATTTTAGACTAGTTATGTCTCATCAATAATCACTTCAAAGTGACAATTATGTCTTTCTATATGTTTAGTTATTCAAAAATTAATTTAAAAAAATAAACAATATCAATAAATTTTGAAATTATTTAAATGGTATTTATTATTATTATTATTAATAATATTATATCAGCACTGCATTACTTAACAATATTGATCATAATACTATATAAATTATATTATAAATGCTATGTATTAAATATATTCATGTAATGGGGCTCAAACCCATATAATATTTCAATAAATAAATATTATATTGTATTTCACTGTAAACATGTTGTTTACAGCAGTTAGAAGTGATAAATGTTTAAACTATGTTCTAGTTAATAATAATTTTTTTTTTACATTTCATTTATATAATTATTATAATTTATACTTCTGTATAGTTACCTAATTATACCTAGGAACTATACTACCAGTATAGTATATTTTAAATTCATTTTAATTTTTTATGATCGAATAAAAATAAAATTGAAATATTTCTTCTAAAATCAATTGTTAAAAATTGTTTATTTATATATAATTATAATTTTTTAACTAAAAGAAAGTAAAAATAGATAGTTTTTGTTATAATTATTTTAAAAGGATTTTATAATTGAAATACATTTTTTTTTCGTTATATTCACATTCTTTACCTACCAATGATTTTTTTTTTTTATAAGTGATCATTTTCGTGAATGTTTTGATTATTTTTAGCGCATAATGAACGGCAATAGAAATTCGATCAATCGTCACTGTCGGGACCGGGACCATACCGGTTAATCAAATAGACGGTTAACACAAATTGTGCAATAAACGTATGTATTTTACGTGTATATTTTCAGAAAAAAAATAATACACATGTATTCTACATGTAGCATACCATACTAAACAGTTCTAAACTAAATATTTTAAACAAAATAATCTGTTATTTTCTTTTGTTTTTTTGACGCTAAAGTTTTTTTAACGGCAATATTTCGTATTTTATGTAGCCGTAAGAACTAGTTACTCGTCAGATACTGATAAAATTAAATTAAACATAATTTAGTTTGTTCGTTCACGTTGCGTTTTTCGCATATGTTGGATATTAGAAAACATTTTTTTACGCTTAACCGTTGCCGCAACGAGATAACAGAGAGTGACGGTTAATCGAGTTTTTACTGTACTCACAAATCAAATGTATAGCTTTATTACAAAAATCTCAACGACAGTGATCGTTACCATAAACGAATGCGAAAAAAAAATGTTTTGCATGTCTTTTATAAGAAAATTTTTGTCTGGACAAAGAATATATATTATCTTTTAATACTTCAGAAAAAGATTGATTCAGCGAAATTATAAAATAGATTTTTATCAGGCACAATTATATGGGCCGGCGGGACGCCTGAAATTTTCTTGGCGAGCAAGCCTCTAAAGTATACGTTTCTTTTTTTTTTTAGAAAAACCAATTTTCATAAAAATAATAATAATTACAAATTTAAACCATGTATAGTCTGGTATAGACTATATAGTTATCATATTTTATTGTTTTTCGTGGACTGATTTGTAATTAATCAGTTGTAACTAAATTTGAGAGTATATTATTTTTATAAAGAGTTCATAGGTTCATAGGGCCAAATTTATATCACAATCTATCCCTGATTTTACCGTTACTATAGGATATTTTTCATTGACGTAGGAAATAGGATCCGCGTTCTGTGTATACATACCCTGGTACAGTTTTCCGCTTTTGGTTCGATCTCGTCTAGTTGAATGGCGAGGGCCGACAGAAAACGGTCTTCTTCAAAGCCCACTTTGTACGGCATAGTAGCATATGGATATTTGAATAATAATTGAACGTTAATAGCAAACCCAGCCATGTCGACTGGAAATTTTCTTTTAGCCGGCCAGCTGTCGAAAAAACCGATCACTTTGCCCTGTAGAGGATCAATATAGACAGTTAAATCATTTTAAATAACGTGTTTACTGAATTATTTAAAAATTAAAAACCGTTCAATGAACATGAAAACATTAATAAGGCATTTATAAATATTAAATTATCGTAGGACAATATAAGAGTAGACAAGTGTAGGTATACTATTACTGACATTGTTAATGATCGGCGAACTGACACCGTATTCGCCGATCAAACCGACGGGAAACATTGATATTTTCTTCGTGGACCGTATTTCTTTGAACAGGTCCAGGTGGAAAGTATTGTCGTCGTCGCCGAAGTAGATGACCGCGTCCGAGTCGTTAACATCGTGGTTCAGTCTTATCCAATTCAGTGCAGCTCGGCGGTTGGATACCCCGCGGGGCATTGCGTTGGGGTCGCGTCTGTAAATCGTCGGCATAGGGCTGGCGATGTACGTGTAAGGAATGCCTGAAACGACGAATGTAAAAATAACGTGTAATTTTTTTTATTTCCATTGTTCAATTTAGTTTGAATGCAAATTTTTTAGATATTATTTATTTATTTATTTATTTATTATTTATTTCAACGGCTCGAACGATCCAATTACAATAATTCAATATAATTTAGTTTATAACTAAACGTTAACATACAATAATACAACATATTTAAATACAAAGAATTCTGTTTACACAATTGTTAAATGATTCTCAATGGAATTAAAATTAAACAAATCAATTTTTTAATCATTGGCTATTGACATTATCCTATTTATAGGAGAAGCAGAAGCATAATTTGTTTTATGTGTAAAAACATAACACATATTGATTGATCTAGTTCTACACCGAGGGACATAAAAATTGAGACAATTTAAAATTTGAAGGCAATTTATATAACCATTGACAAGCTTCAATACAAATTTCATATTATATATTTTTCTTCGTTCGGATAAGCTAGCAATATCAAAATGATGTAATCATGATTTATAAGGAGAATGACGCAAATGAGTTAAATGCAGTTGAAGGCCATGAGTCGAAGGAAACGGTTTTTAATATTATCTAAACATTAAGTTTGATAATTTAAGTATGCCAAGCTAACCACAGTATTGTATTCCAATTTTGATCGAACTAAAGTAGTATATGATGTTTTATAAATAGCAGGATTAGTGAAATCCTTACAATTTCTTCTAATAAAGCCTAAGATCATCGATGATTTTCTAACCATATGTAATAAGTGTTTATTATATGTGATAGTAGAATCATATATCACACCTAAATCACTAATATCCTGAACATGTAACAAAAAAGACTGTCTAATTTTATAAGATGCTTTAAGTGAATCTGTAAAATGATAAAATTTTACATTTATCGATATTTAATGGTAGTTCATTAATTGTACACCAATCAGACAAAATGGTCAAATCATTTTGTAATAAAAATGAATCATTATGAGAATTTATTTGTCAAAATACTTTCAAATCATCGGCAAAAAGAAATTTACTTGAAAGTAGAAAATTTAAATCGTTAATAAATAATAGGAACAATAAAGGAGCTAAATGAGGCCCTTGTGGTACACCAAAAGTTATATCGAAAGAATTAGCTTTGAAATTTTTATACTTTACAATTTGTTCCCTGTTTGATATATAGAACGAAAACCAAGAAATAAATGGGTCCTGAATACCCATGTTACATAATTTATATATAAGTATAGAATGGTTTACCTTCAAACACTTTAGAAAAGTCTGTATAAATTACGTTGACTTGGGATCTAGTAGCAAAGGCGTCTAATATAAATTTATGGAAGATTAAATGATTTGTAGTTGTTAATTTACCACTTATAAAATCATATTCGCTGTCATCTATTAATTGAATCATTTATTTTTATATAATTCATTCAAATATTTTTGGAATTATTGAAAGTAGACTGATTGGACGATAATTGGCTACACTAGATATATCCCCATCCTTAGATATTGGCATAATAAAACTTGTTTTCCATACGGTTGGAAAAGTACCAGTAGATAAAGATAATTTTTAAAAAAAGAAGCGGATTTGTTACTATGAATTTATAGTTTGAAAAGAAAATACTGGGAATCATATCAGGGCTCGAGTTAGATTTATAGGTAATTATATCAAGTTCGTTTAAAACAACGCTGATATTTACATATCATTTTACGTGTAATTTTTCAATATTATTAATTTGAAGAAGAGCACGATGCAAATGACTTTTAATCGCAATTAAAACACAACCTCCTCTGACTGAAACATTAACATTATTTCCGATGAGACTTCCTTTATCACAGTAATAAACTTAACAGTATGGAAATAGACAGAGTTTTTTATCATTGATTTCATTGTGTAGCCAAGTTTCAATTAAGACAATAACATCGTAATCATACAGTTTAAAATTTCGAGTAAAAACAGCCAGTTTAAAGCTGCGTAAATTTTGGTAATAGAACGTTAATTTATTGGAATTTGCACATGATTCTTGTCGTTTTTTGACATGGTAGGAATATTATTAATATATTGAATGTATAAATCCGTTTCACCAGCAGATTTCCTAATATTTTATTCATCCATTTGTTATAACTACAGACTTTATTGAAATGGGTTAAAAAATAAATTATAATAACATTTGACAAGTTAATATATCATACATTATTTTATTTTACATTATTTAATAATTTTAAGATTTTAAAAAAATATATATATAAAAAATAAATAAATAAAATATATTATCATAATGGTATACCAATATAAAGAGAAAATTTTAACCATGCCAATGATTAAAATCGTTGTCTGTCTTAAGTCTGCAAATGGGAAGGTAAATTAGTTTTATGTCAAACACATGATATTTTTGTTGATATACCATTTTTGAGCCCTAGTGCAGTTCGACCACTACCTTCTTTCAACCAAAGTGTAATTCGACCAGGGTCGACGAGAAATGTTGAGGGCCCCGGGACTGATCGTTTCCAAGTCCTTTTCATTTGCAATAGTTTGGTTAAGATGTACATACTATTTGTACACACTTGAGTACAATAAAAATATTGTATTAAGATTGAGACGATGGACCCCAGGGCTCTGCTCTTCCTGTCCCATCCTCTCACCGGCCCTGAATTCGATCATACTCGTTGTATGTATCACTACGACTATTTATTGAATGTAGGCAACAAGTATTCAAAATCTTTTAGCTGCTTAACATCGTTTATCACAACACAACCCAACCACTCCCGACCACCGCTATGGCTATGCATACATTTTGGCAGGCCATTATTTTTATAAACGTAACTTACTAAAATCGGGTAATAAATTCATTATTTGTGGACTGCAATCGGGTCGATCGTCAGCCACTATCCAGTGTAGACGCGGCACGTGCATGAGCGTCTGGCCCAGTCGCGTGAGCTCGGCAATTTGCTCACGTCGCGGATAGGTGGGCGTGATGAAGTATATCAGAGCGGTTTCGTTGGCTTCGTCACTGTTGCGCGGGCCACTGTCACGGCTCTCGTCGTTCTCTCCGGGCGAACCGCCGGTCGTGCTGTCGCTTGTTTGTAGACGTCTGCGACCTGCGAACGTGACCTGCGAGAATTTGCCACGGTTATTATTTCAATATTTCACAATCGAATCGTGCAAAACGATGTTACGATTTCGGCGAAACAGTGTTTTACACGATACAAACGCGCCAAATGTACACGACAGATGCCCTGGACTAACCTAACCTAACCTCGTCAGCCATATGATCCATCGAACAGATTTTAAATGCAAGAAAAGTTTGTCATTTTGTTTCGTCCAATAAACCGAGATCATGTATACCATTGATCTTTGATATCAAATAACATGTTTCCCCAAGTATTTAAACGGATCAATAACGATGTCAAAGCTTTAGGGCCAGAATAGTGTTCGTTAGTCAATACTACGTATAGCCGTCCAATGTCCACAAAATTATGAACGAATCGACTGTCTTCCCCGAACGGTGGTGCTTCTTCGTTCACCGCTATCATTTTATAAACATAATATTATATTGAGATCAAATAAAATAGGTTCTATTAAAAGATAATTATTATTTTTTTAATTTTAGTTCTGATTGTAAAATACTTAAAAATGTAAACCTTATATTCCTCACACAAAAGTGTTATTACCTGTTTATCATAAATACATAAAAAATAAAATTCTACCAAATCAATAAAGATTATTTATTTTTGTAAAATTAAATCGTATACAAGAATATTGCTGAAAATAATATTATTATTTTAATTTTCTTATTACTATCTAACACAGGCAATCATTTAACGATATTACATGCGTTTCGAACTCCTGCATATGTCTTATGAAATCACAGAATTTGAATTACAGTTAATAGAATTTTAATTGCTTTTTACATTTATAGTGTATTTTTTATTTTAAATTAATGTAAAGCCTTGGACCGTACTTAGATCATTTTATTTTTTTCAAAGTACTTAATTAAAAATAATCATTAATTAAAATAATCATGTACGATCGCATTTAGTTGATAAATTAAATAATGAAAATTTACTTGGGGACTAAAAGAAATTGTGTAATGATTTAAATTATATTGTGTATTATGCCAAATATAATACGTCCACGAAGATTTTTTATTTCAAAGTGACGTAATTTGTAAGTAACGAGAAATCCATTACCATTAGATACTATTCAATTTTAAATCTTTTAATACTCATGTGATACATTTTATAAGTATATATTATAGTTATAAAATAACTAAGTAAGTATATAGTATAGTTATGTATGCATAATGCATATATATATGCATATATATATATATATATTATAAGTCGTAGCGGTATAGTTTGGTACTTAATAAACTCCACAATGAAATTGAAATTCTTCACACTTCGTTAAATAAAATAAAAATTTACAAAATGGTCACTGTAATTTAACTTAAATTATCTTCATTAATGAATTGAGCGAACTTCATGTACTATATACTTAATAATTTATAATATTAATAAATGAGTAATTATTGATTTTTAGATTAGTATTAATATTATTATTATTGAAATAATTCTTACTTAACGTTACCTATGATATAATTAATAATTATAATATTATATATTTATATAATACAATAATGTATTATTATGTATTATTATTTATTTAGTGTTAAATTGTTAATACTACAGCTGTTAAATTTTTCCATTTCATAAAATGTTATGATTTTGCTAAGTAACTATGACACAAATTATGTATTGATTGTGTTGATTTTCTTTTTTAAATCTAGATCTTCTGGCTTTCAACACTTTAGTGCTTTATTTGGTCAATATTGGTCAAAGATGTTTTTGTTAATTAATCAGTTAACTGATTAAAACATTTCAAGTTTTATTTTTAAAAAGTAGTTTGTAAAAATATCATTTTAATTTTGAAGTCGAAATATTTTTACTCTTCATAAAAATAATTTCAATTAATTTTTCACCATATAAATGATAGTTGATAATTAATATTTTATATTGCATATTGTTTATACTTGACAATTTATACGCAATTTATAACTTTATATGTATATAATTCCGAACTTAGAACGTAACTTCATAATGTACGTTTAGTTAATTATGCCACACGAGTATTTCCCATAGTAAAATTATAATATACAATAATACTATATTCAAGTTGAATAATACTGACAATCAAATTTATAACACATTTACGAGTATACGTTATACATGGGAAAAAATACTGTATTTTGTACTGTAGAATTAATTAATTATTTAATATACATATACATACAATTTGAATCGTAGTAAATTATATACGTATACACGAGACTCATATATTACTATTATTTATTTTCGTGTTCATATACGATAGTAATATACTCGTAATTAATATATCAATGTTATGTACATGTTTTTGCTAACGCATTCCATTATTGTCAGCTGTTGAAGTGTTTACACGCGCTGAAAGCGCAATACTTCTTCGGCACAAATCAAGGTCTTAAATCATGACGACGAAGATTTACTACAGTAAATTCATTTTCATTGGAAAAACTGTTTTAACATTTCGCACACAGAATTATTCAATAATATGCATTTTAATGAAGAAAAACGGTAAAAGCCATAGAAAACTTGCAGTTACTTGTACTTTAAACGTCCTAGTAAATTCACCGATATGCAAATAATCTAGTACCAGTAAGTTATTTAGGTTTTAAATGCTTTAGAGCAACATAAAATAAATTTATTTTTCACGTTATTTTAATTGATAGGGAGGGGGGGGGGGTATATTTAAAAAAAAATTAATATCCAGGAGTGATTACCCTTATGTCCGTTGTAGTAGGTATGCAGTTGGTACAAGCTGTAGTGAATGTAGCCAATTTCACCAAATCGACTCAAAATATTTACAACGTGTGTAATTTGTGTAATTTGAAATACGTTTATAATTTGCCCCAAAATAAGGATATGTAATTTGCACCAATATTAAAATCTATTATTTTTTCGATATTATCTTGATAGTACTAACGTACAAGTTTCTATGTTGCTATATATGTATAAGATATAAGAAGCCAATAACACAGAACTCTAGGTTTTAGATTCTGAGCCGTTACTTAACTTACTTATAAAGAGTATATAGCTATACAGTACTTCAGTATTGACTTCAAACCTACCTTATAAGAACAGTTAATAATTTATGATAACAGTATAATTTCATTATTTTAGACAAAAAATATAATTTTAAAACATACAATACTTTTAAATTATTAGTATATAATATAAATTTAATTAGAGAATAGTTGATGACTCCAGCGGAAAAGGTTTATATGATTTAATTTCAAGTGAATTTTATAAATTAACTTTAGATATTGCTAAAATTATAAGCTACTCATTATACACAACGTCACGTATTTTAATAATAAAAATTGTATTGTTCTTTACAGTCATTTGTTTTTATGGCAAAAAGTAAAACAGAAATTAGGCATATAATACTCCAAAAGAGTATGGTTTAAGCTCTTTAAAGAGAGAAATAAAATAGTCCCTATTAATAGAGTAGGTCGATGTATAACTGCCTTTGCAGCTCATAAATATTCAGTCAAAATCTAGATTATATTGTAGTATATTAGATTATATTAGATTATATTAGATTATATTGTATAAACTAGTAGAGTTTTACGAATGCAGTTCATTAATAATTAATAATATAACGGATATAAAACGAATTCTCCATTAGACCATAAACGGAAATATTCAACGGTTGTTATTTTATTATCACCACTCATACTGCGAATAATAAATCAACACATGCATACACTTAATAAAAAAAAACTTTAAATACTAATGTCTATCGATAGTTTTGAAAAATTATCATCTGATTGTCTAATACGTTAGTTACTTGCGTTTGATCTATTACAGATAGTTGGGTAAATGTTCACATAGTTTTAATAATAATATAGATTTCTAAATAGGATGATTAAATTTTTAAGTTTAATTCATGAGAAATCTGCACAATATCATTATTTCCGTTATTCCGTGCGGGTAGATCGTTTAAGTACATAATTATAATAATCTTATGAGCAGTTAATTATGCAATCAGTTTATCATTAATGATTAATAAGCATAAATATATTTAAGGAAAACAGTTTAGGTAAGTAGACAAAGAGATAATTATAATAACAAATAATAAATGTTCTTGTTTTTGTCGAATACTATGTCTATTTGGATACAAAAATGTTTATTTAATAACTAATAATGCATTGTTAAAATAATGTTCATTAAGCGTGAAATACGATATGTTGATGAAGAAATAGATTGAAATAAATTTTCAAAACTCATATTAACACACGTGATTATTTAATTGTGACAATTAATACTGGTCGAAAGTTAAAATATATAAAAAAAATTTAAGTTTAGAAAATATTTACGTATTTACAATAAAAACATTTTAATATTTCATAATACATAATGAATTAAATAGCTTTTTCTTCTTCGTCAAAATAACTTTGCCATTAATGCCAAAATCTTCTTATTAAATGTTGGAATAATAAAGTAGATATTATACTACAGTATATTATTTCAGTTAATTTTTGTTTAGGCTAAACTTATCATTAAACAACTAAATCAGTAGATAAAATTTTTTTAGAATTATTTCTTTGACTTCAGTGAACTTTGACGTTTGATGTGAATATATATGTATTCATAGAAATATTGTATATAGATATCTATACACTTCTATATAAGTGTTATAAGATTTCGCTCAAAGGAACTAGATATTTTAGTTGATATCATGTATAACAATATAAAATAAAATTTTTTACTTTATTATTTATTACAATAAAAATGTAAGGAAACATTTTTAAGAAATATATATTTTAGAGGTTGTTTTAAATTAATACATCAATGTTAAATACATAAAAAAATTACGTACTTTAAGAAAAAATCAACACTTTTATAAATTGATTATTACTAGATTAAAAATCACGCCAAATAGTGAGTGGTTTAAAAAAATCTTTTGGTAGACTCTTGTGTAATGGAAAATAAGGTATCAGAAAACAAATTAAAATACTATTGAAGAATGTGATTTTATAGTACTTGATTGAAATACTATAACTGCTTAGC